ACTGCCAACCTAAACAAACGGAGGAATCAAAGGGAGGGTTCCCTACCGGATTTTATTCCATTTTTTCGATTTTATTTTTTATACGATTGATTAATTAATTAATCTATATTATATTATAAAGTATTTGACAAAAAAAATTAAAACCACTTTTTATGCATAAAATACTGTTTATTAATGCATGTTACTTAAAACTCAAGATTACAAGTAGATTGTGTGTAAGTACAACTCATTAAAGCTCTATATCTGAATTCGTATAACTAACTGCAGATAAACATAATCAAATACAAGATAAACATCTTATTTTAAATATAAAAAATCTAAAACATAATTAGGATAATCATTGAGTTCTAACATAATATTTAACTATTATCTTTATAAAATATTATATTATTAAATCAAAAATAAATTATTTTATTATTAAACTTAAATTGAATAAAAATAAAATTAGAACTTTTAAATAGTTGATTTGATATTAACATCGATATTTTTTTTTTTTCAAAATTTTATGATATTTTCAAATTTATATTTTATTCAAAAATAAAATCATTATTGTTTTCTTAAAAACACATAAAATCGTAGTATAACATCGACATAGACAAAAAATAAAATAAAACATTAAAATCGAAATGTATCTCGCTGTATTGTGCGAGTACCCTTCTAGTTATTATTAATATAATCATCAAGTAATTAAAATAACTAAAGAATTTGGAATTGAAAGAATTTGCAATATTTGATTTGTGGGATTTTGAATCAAATATAATTTCAGTTTTTATAAATGATTTATAAAAATAAATTATAAATAATTATAAAAGTAATTAAATTATATTTTATTAATTAGTTATTACAAAATAAATGCTTTTAATATGGATTGGGTTTACGTGAGACAAAATTATTTTCATGAGATATGATTTTTACACTTGAAACTTCACAATAAAATGTTTTGAAGATAAAAAAAATTGAATATTCATATCAAGCTGTGAAGGTAACTTTTGTTGTGAAGTTTCTAGTGTAAAAATCGTGTCTCACAAAAAATCCAGTGTTTCAAATTTAAGGAAACCAACGCATGAGATTTGAATGGAATTGAATTTTAGATCCTACCAGATCACACAACCAAAAGGGACCTAAGCGTTGGATGCAAGGAAATACCCATACATCATGACTTGGATCACATGAAGCCAACTGTTTTCGTGAGGCTCGTGAGATTATTTTTTTACATTTGAAACTTCACAGCAAAACACTGTGAATGTAACATTCACAATGTTTTTGTTATGAAAGTTCAAGTTTCTTTTATTTTCACAATATTTTACTATGAAGTTTCAAGTGTAAAAAAATGGTCTCACGGGTCTCACATAAACCCAACCCCATAAATCATAGGTATTTTTATCTTGATCGTTTAAAACAATAAAAATTACTTTATACTCGCCTAAGAAAAAATTTAGGAATTCTATAAAGTTTTTTGGGGTTTTCTGAATTTTTTTTCATTTTAATTAACGATACTTACAATATATTAACGACATTTTAATGTAATGTTTTTTATAAATATATTACAATTCACGATTTTAAAAAGCAATGTATATAAAAAATAAAAGTAATTTTATTCAAAAAGTTTATGAAATAAATTGTATGAAAAATAATGTATTTTAATTTGATTCATATTTTTGGTAACATACTTTCAAAACTTTCATTTTAGTACCTAAGACATAAAATTTTAAACATTTAAGTACTCGGGTAACCGGTGAAAGCATTAACCGGTTACCATGCTAATGTAACGAGTGATGTGTTATCCGGTTAATGCTTCAACAAATAATACTGAGTTGGATACCACATCACTCGCCACATCAGCATGGTAATCGATTAATGCTTCAACCGGTTATCCGAGTACTTAAATGTTTAAAACTTTTCAAATATGAAAAATTTTTTCTTTACCTTTTCCCAGTATCTGCTTTTTCTATCTCAGGTAGGTTTTTGTGAGACTCGTGACAATTTATTAGTTATTTATATGTTTATTTATAAATATATAATAATTATTAATGTTAAAAAAAATAAACGGGATCCACAAAAAAAAGTTTTTATAAGAGCCATCATAGTGGATTTTTAAGTAAATATAACAGTTAATGATAAAATTGTGAGAATAGAGTTAACTATTGGAGTTGAATGTAATTTATTTTAGAAGTTATAGTTTTTAATGTTTTATTTGTAGAAAAATTATAGTATAACTATTAGAGATGTTCTTAGAGCATCTCATCCCAATGGACTTTAGTGTTTGGAATGATTAAGTCCCTGGACAATTTTTTGAAATAAATAAGTCATTGGACATTCCAAAACATGTTAAATAACTTATTGGACAAATTTTTGGAACAAATAAGTCATTGGACAATTTAAAACATGTTAAATAACTCATTGGACAACTTTTGAAACAAACAAGTCATTGGACAATCCAAAACATGTTACATAACTCCTTGGACTTTTCTAAAACCTGTTGGATATATTCTTATGCCTTGTACAACTAGTTAAAGTGGTAAAATACTAAAAAAAAGTCCGGAAAAACCCCAATGAACATTCATATTTTGAACGATTAAGTCCCTAAATATTTTTTGAACCAA